GAAATTAACAATTTTATTATTATAAAAGATGGGTTTGGGTATAATTTCCTTGGCTTTCATTGACACAAAAGAATAATTACTCAAAATTAATGTAATAGTATAATATAAATAATATTCCTTTACAAGAGGAATTATCACTCAATTAGAAAGCAATAAAATTAGCATAAATTGCCTAATAGACAAAATAAATGAAAGAGTATAATTGTAATGATATTATATAATTATTTAAGCATCAAAATTACCTTCTATTAATTCAAGTATTAGATTAAGAAGATATAGTCCATTAGAGATATCTAGGATTACTAATATCCCTAAAACAAGAGCAGACTCTGAACATACTAAATCTACTGATAGAAGTATAAAGAAATGTACATTACCTAGTATATAGAAGATGTAATATCAAAAGAAATTAGATTAAATTGTTTACTAAAAGTATAATTGGTATCACTAATATTTTAGTTAGGTTTTGAAGAATCGATTAAAGGAATATAATACAATTCGATAGAATTTATATCCAGATGAATTGAGTACTGAAACTTAAAAAGCTCTTGAAATTACTAAGAAATTATCAGAAGAATTAAAAAAATAATAAGAGAATTTTTAAATAATTTAATAAGAAATGAAGAGAATTAATATAGTTTGGAAATTATGTTAATAAAATTAAGATTGTAATGATAGAGCTTAATAATTGGTATAACATTCTAAGAATTTGGATCGATTGATATAAGAATAAATGATATGTATTAAAGATTGTAATGAGAAATTAATGGAAATAAAATATAAATAGAAGATTGTATAAAAGAAACAATAAGTTGAGAAGAAATAACAATAATAATAATAATAATAATAATAATAGTAATAATAATAATAATTATAAATTAGATTTAATTTCATTTAAAATATTCCAACTTCTGCAGGAATGTTATCAAATATAGATAGTTCATATATATAAGATTCATATAAAAAACAATTATAAATTAGTAATAGTCTTATAAATGAAACTAATGAAACTAAAATTAAATTTGTTAGATTAAAGACAGGAAAAATAGAGGATCGATTAGACTCTCATACATAAGAACTAGTTACATAATTATTTGATTTAGGTATTGAAAATTTAAATAAAAACAATTCTAAATTGAGAGAATTTTGTGATATGATAACTAAAAATGATGAATTACATTTAGAAATTTAGAATAGATAATAAAGATTATTGTAATTAAAAAATACAAAATAAGAATTCATAATCTTCTCGAAGGTAATTCTTAAATGGAATTTAGATATTGTAAACACAAAAGAAACCTATATTATAAACCAGAAGTGACCATTATTATTCTAGTTATCAATAAGATGATGTGATCAGATAAAATGATTACAAAATACAGAACTTAAAACAATTACAATAATACTTGGCTGTTATCAAATTCTATAATAATAATCTATATTAATTATTTCAATCTATACAAAAGCCAGATAATAATATTTCATAAATTACTCAACTTTTGTAGAAAATGATATGAATTATTATATAAAAATACTTTTCATATTATATGAGAGATAGTCGAGATAGAGCTAATACTCAAGTCGATAATAATTCATATGAAGAAATCCTCAAGAAATATAAGAGCATAGCTCAATCTAGTAATATGTCAACATAATTGGAATCTATTCAAGAAGATGAACCTTAATCTAATTTTTCTATTGATTAAATGGAAAAGGATACAGAAAAAAATTAATTTCTAAGAAAAACAAATGACTTAGATCTAGTCAATCAAAATGATTGTATTTAATAAGAATATTATTTTATTAGCAATCTTTAAATGTACTTTAAGTGATGAAAAATTAAAAGAATTAAAATAAGGTAAAAATGAATGTTGTATATGTCATAAAAGTTCATCACTTATTCATAAATTGAAACAATGTAAATTCTGTGGTAATGTTGTATGTAAAGAACATGGAAAAAAGAAAAGAAAAGATCCCAATAATAATTCATTATTAAAAAGATTATGTGAAATTTGTGAAGACAAATATATTAGACTTACTGTAGAAACAGCATACAAATAGAAAAGAGATTAATTGGCTTAATAAGCATTAGAATTAGATTTATAATCAAAAGAATTATTATAGGATATTAGATCTTTGTAGAATTAAGTTTCTGAAATCTAATAATAAGGTGTTAAATAATAAGGAGAATATAAATAAATATAAAATGAACTTATCTTTAAAACTTAGAAATTAGATAATGAAATTAAAAGTTATTAAGATGAGAATCTTAAATTGAAATCTATTATTTAATCCATAAAAAAAGAAATGTAATTATTAAATGAAAGATTAAATGAAAAAAAATTGGATTCTTAAAAGAAATAGAATCAATTATATTAAATTGAATAAGAGATTTAATTTAATGATATTGAATGTTAAAAAGAGATGTTAGAAATAGAAAAATTATAATTGACCATATAATCTAAAAAATAAAATAATCAATAATAATAATAGAAATCTTAAATTTAGAAAAGTGAGATTAAAAATTATTAATAATATATTTAAACTGATGATTCTTCAACTATTTAATAATATAATCCTTATTTAAATAGTAATAATAATTTAATAATTAATAACAATTAAAGTAGTGAAAATGAAACAGAAATATTAGATAATAAAAGAAAGAATTCTAAAAAATAATAAGAAGATAGAGAAGAAGCTAATTGTTGTTAAATTATGTGATCATTATTATCTAAACATTTTTATTCTAATAATATTAATAATTATTAATAATTATTAATATATTTAGTATATATATTAATATAAATTAATTAATTATTTTATATAATTTTATATTTAATTCATTTTAATCAGGTTATAAATAAATTAGATTATATTCTAGGTGTGCTATGAAAATATTTCAAATCAGATGTATTTGTTATTTTTTCAGATTCTAATTTTAATAACATATCTCTTTTTTATTTCTCCATATCTTCAATAACTTTTAATCTTCTCTTTTAGATTTCTAATTTATTTTATCTAAATAAATTTTTATATAATATTATATACATTTAATCTTATAATCTCATATCTCTCTAAGTAATTTTTTATTCTAATTATTAAATATATGATTATTTAAATTAATCAGCTTTTATTATTTATGATTATTATGTAAGTTATTTTTAATTTAATCTTAAGAGTTTTTATTCAAGTTATAATTGATTTTGATGTTGAACCAATTTAAATGTTTATTCTTTCAACATTTACTTATTCAATAGATTTAGAGATTTATTTCTAATAATATTCTCAGATTTTGCTCTAATTTAATTTATTTATTAAATATGCTCAAATTCCTTATTAGAATTATGTAATAAATCTGATAATCTCTTCTTTTCAATTAAATTTATTTTATCCTAAAAATAATCCATCTTTTCTTTTAATTTTTTAATTTTATTTTAATATATCTAATTAGATCTTTCTTTAATTAATTCTAAATGTTCTTGTGATTATTAAACTTTCTATGAAATTTAATCCATTTTTTCATATTTTTATTTATAAATCTTATTAATCTTATTTTAATAATTATTCAATTTTTATTAAAAAATCTAAATAAATATCTAATATTACTTCTTAGATTCTCTTCATTTACATTTAATAATTAGAATAGACATTTTAATTATGAGATTCATTCATTTACATAGATGAATTTAAAGTCTTTTGTTTTTAATTCATGTAATCATTTACATATCTCTCTTTCTATTCTTATTTTTCAAGATAACGTATATTGACTTTCCTTAAATTATAATCTAATTAATTTATCAAATCATCAGTTTTCTTTTTAAATTCTTCATATTTAAGTTTATTTTAAATCTCAAATATTCTTTATTAGATCTCCTTTTCATGTTGTTTCTATTCATTTTACCATAATTCATTTTATGCTATTTTCTTATCCTTCTTCTACTTTTCTAGTTCCTATTATTGTTTTAATTTCTCTTTCTAGATCTTAAGTTACTCATTCTAATATCGTGACGAAAGGATCTGATTAACAGTAGTAAGTGTACTTATTCTTACAATTTTCGATCTTTTGTTTCTATTTAAAGATTGCGATCGAAAATGATATTCAATTTTTATTCATTTATTTTTCTCTACTTTTTCTATAACTCTTCATGTTTCAACAATACATCCATCTATTAATTCTAATTAATTTTAATATATTTATTTATACAAATTTCTCAATCATTTTCTCTGGATGTGGTGCATTCATTACTTTTTTTATTATATCATATATTTTACTCAATTAAATATATATATATATATATATATTAATCTAAAATCAATATGTATCATAAATTTCTTTTTTTTAGTAAATTAATTAAAATATCAATATGCTAAGTGTTTTTATTTTAAGTTTTCATAGGTAAAGGGGATCTCAATTTCAATGGATTAATATTATTCTTTTTATAAATTTATTGCATTTGTTTAGAAAAATCTTTTATTTCAGGAACAGATGGAAAATCTTATCTAACTTTTTCAGGTCGTATCTTTTTATGACCCAATAAATCATTTAATTTTTTAATACTTAAATGATCATTTTAACATTCTATTTCTGTTATACTTTTTTTATTTTCTTTAGGTGGACTCATTCTAGGTTCAACTGACATTCTATTCTATGATAACTCATGCACTGAATAACCTTGAATAATTGATGGTAACTTTTATCTTACAAATCTTCTTTATTATCTTTATTCGAATTAATTTTCTTATTACATCTATCTTTGTACAATAGATGGACCATATCGTAATGATAGTATTTATCTTTCAGTCACACTTCCACCTAAAATAGGTATTTATTGTAAATAAGATTGAGATTCATCAGTTATACATCTAAAATCTGAACTGATTTAATTTAAATTTCTTTGAATTGATATACTCTTAACTTTCTTATTTGTTTATAATAATCTTCTTGATTGAGGTGCTTATTCATTATTTTGTTGTAAATCAAAATTATACATAATTTTATATCATTAATATTTAAATCCATTTTAATTACCAATTAACAATGGTTATTCATTCTCTGTTAGTATATAAATATTATTAAATTATACAATAGCACTTTAAGTATTAAATTCAATTGATTTTTCTAATTCTTTTGATTTCTATAATGTTTTTGTCTTTAAATTAAGAATCTTATTATTATATTAAATTAAATACCTAAGTTTCATTACTTTTAACATCATGTACTGATCCCCCTAGAATTAAGATCTAATCATATGAAATCTTTATAGCACAACTATTAAATGGCAATCTCAAATATCCATTTGATGAGAACTTGAACTCTATTTTAGTCTTAAATCAATTATAAAACACATAATACCCAAGAATTCTTCAATATATCATATGATTCAATTGAATTACATGGAGTAAAGATATCACATTTACCTCCAATCTTAAATAAAGTATTTTTATCAATTGCAACCAAAGCACATCCACTACATTTAAAGTATGGATCATTAATTGTTTACCATCTTTTACTATTTAAATCTAATTTCTCAGCTTTAGCTATTGATGTATTTTCATCATTAGTTGATGATCCACCTACAACAAATATGAAATTATCAATCTAACAAGCAGAAGTCATAGATCTAGGTAGAACCATTTCTGAATGTAAACTTAATTATAAAGTTGTATGATTAAATTCATAAACTGAAGCAATTGCTTTGAATCTTGATTTATCTCTATCAACTCCTCCAATAACTAAATGTTTTCCTGAAGTAGTAGTATATAGTCTATGAAATAAAGGAATTTTAGTTTAACTATTGATAGTTTCAATTCTATATTTTTAAGATTAAATATCATAAATATATGCAGCATAACCACCTTCTTCTAATCTTACTAATACTTGAGGTTTATCATCTTCAAAATGATTTTATTGATTAATTTAGTATTTAGCTTCATCATTTGTAAGGCTATCAGATATTAATGTTATTGGATTAATTAGAGGAGGTGGTATTTCAGAAATATGTGTTAATTTGATTGTAGATTGATTTGATTTATTTTCAATTTAAAGACTTTTATTATTTAACTAAGTATTTGTATTTTTGACAAAATAACATATTTTATTACAATATGTTTAAAAAAGTTCAATATTATTTTTATCAAAGATTATTTTAACTTAAGATTACTGATAATTTTCAATTAAATTATTTAGTTAAATAAGACTCTTATCAGAAAATAATTCTTATTTGGAATCACATATTTATATTACAGCTCTAACATAATTATCATTGTGTAAATCTTCTTATAATTTAGTAAGTTTGTGTTATTATTATATGATATCTTACTCTATTTAATTTAATTATTTTAAATATTCATCTTAATTTTAATTTTTTAAATCTTTGTACAATGTTTCAAAATAATCATCTATGATATTTGAAATTTATTCATGAATTTATCTTAATTACCCAAGATTATTATTATAAATAATAGATGGTTATTCTTAGAAATACTTCTTAGAATCTAACAATTTAAATTATAATGATTTGGATAATTCATCTATTTTATATGTATTATCTTTTCTAACTCTTTGGATATTTTCTAATTTAGGAACTCTTCCTTTTTATTAATGCATTTAAAGATGTTCATTAATACATTCAGGACAAAGAGGTTCAATACAATTCTATATGAAAATAAAAATAAACAAACATACTTAATCTTAACATAGATTAGTAATAAAAAATTCTGGATGAGTTGGACATGGAACATACATGAAATTAGCAAATTAAGTCATATTTGACATTTTACTAGTATTGTTAATATTGACTTCACCTAATACACTACTTATATCAGATTATTAATCAATGTTAATTATTTTAGATTTGACTTATTAAGTAGGTGGTAATTTCTTATGATTCTGATTTAATATTTTAATTTAATTACTTATTCATTCTCTTATGTGTTTTATCTTTCATTTGGTGAGACATATCTTTTAGATGCACTATGATTACGACTATTATTAATGGGGGATTGAGATCTATTCATAAAAATTCAAATTTTTATAATATGTTAAATTTAATTTTCATTCTTGTTTCAGGAATTCATTCTGAAGAACCAGAAGTTTGTTATAAATTAGAGGGTCATTTATGTGTTAATAATCAGATAGTTGATATGACCTTTGTACCCTTAGATTCAATTATAGGTTTATGGAGATTTGACAAGAATTAGATGGATGATAGTCAATTGTTAAATCATATCTCTTAACCTTGTGAGCTTGGTCCAGGTAGAGGAGCTGTTGGCAATTCTGCCTATTATAGTGGAGAATAATATTCAATAATTCCACATCATGATTAATATCATGAGATAGTCACAATTTCCATGTGGATATATCCATTGTCTTCATAATAGTCATTTACTACAATTTTACGTAAAGCTTTAAAATCTACTGAATACACTCCGACAATTTTATTGTGGCCATTTCATGATGAAGCTAATGTTGGAGGAGGACAGATTGAAGTGATAGTTAGTACATCTTATGATAAAGAGAATCTTCGTAGTAAGGGTAGTGTAACAGGTAGAAAGTGGAATCATTTAGCAATTGTTTTATAAGGTTTAAGTATTGATTTATATATAAACGGCATTCATGACAATGTATTGTCTTTGAAAGCCAGACCATTAAAGAATGAAGGACCCTTCTATGTAGGAGGAGATCCCTGGTTCAACGGTCCTCTATTATATTTAGATGATCTAACATTCTNTACAATGTTTCAAAATAATCATCTATGATATTTGAAATTTATTCATGAATTTATCTTAATTACCCAAGATTATTATTATAAATAATAGATGGTTATTCTTAGAAATACTTCTTAGAATCTAACAATTTAAATTATAATGATTTGGATAATTCATCTATTTTATATGTATTATCTTTTCTAACTCTTTGGATATTTTCTAATTTAGGAACTCTTCCTTTTTATTAATGCATTTAAAGATGTTCATTAATACATTCAGGACAAAGAGGTTCAATACAATTCTATATGAAAATAAAAATAAACAAACATACTTAATCTTAACATAGATTAGTAATAAAAAATTCTGGATGAGTTGGACATGGAACATACATGAAATTAGCAAATTAAGTCATATTTGACATTTTACTAGTATTGTTAATATTGACTTCACCTAATACACTACTTATATCAGATTATTAATCAATGTTAATTATTTTAGATTTGACTTATTAAGTAGGTGGTAATTTCTTATGATTCTGATTTAATATTTTAATTTAATTACTTATTCATTCTCTTATGTGTTTTATCTTTCATTTGGTGAGACATATCTTTTAGATGCACTATGATTACGACTATTATTAATGGGGGATTGAGATCTATTCATAAAAATTCAAATTTTTATAATATGTTAAATTTAATTTTCATTCTTGTTTCAGGAATTCATTCTGAAGAACCAGAAGTTTGTTATAAATTAGAGGGTCATTTATGTGTTAATAATCAGATAGTTGATATGACCTTTGTACCCTTAGATTCAATTATAGGTTTATGGAGATTTGACAAGAATTAGATGGATGATAGTCAATTGTTAAATCATATCTCTTAACCTTGTGAGCTTGGTCCAGGTAGAGGAGCTGTTGGCAATTCTGCCTATTATAGTGGAGAATAATATTCAATAATTCCACATCATGATTAATATCATGAGATAGTCACAATTTCCATGTGGATATATCCATTGTCTTCATAATAGTCATTTACTACAATTTTACGTAAAGCTTTAAAATCTACTGAATACACTCCGACAATTTTATTGTGGCCATTTCATGATGAAGCTAATGTTGGAGGAGGACAGATTGAAGTGATAGTTAGTACATCTTATGATAAAGAGAATCTTCGTAGTAAGGGTAGTGTAACAGGTAGAAAGTGGAATCATTTAGCAATTGTTTTATAAGGTTTAAGTATTGATTTATATATAAACGGCATTCATGACAATGTATTGTCTTTGAAAGCCAGACCATTAAAGAATGAAGGACCCTTCTATGTAGGAGGAGATCCCTGGTTCAACGGTCCTCTATTATATTTAGATGATCTAACATTCTACAACATACCATTTTTATGTACAATTATTATATATTTACATATAAGAATTGGAAATTAGTAAATTAGTGAATTTTCCTGGATAAGTTAATAATAGACTGTTCTATTTAGGTTGTGATGGATGCAATTATCATTAAAGTTTAAGTAGTTGTAAATAAGGATGGCATTTATGTTCACTTTCTGAATTAACATCTGGAATATATATGCATGCTCGTTAAAATGGTTGGTTAAGATTAACTAAAGATTTTTGGTCAAGAGTTGATGAAATAGATGAGGAATTAGCAAAAAATTATTTAGATCCTTAAAAAACAAAAGCTGCTATTTGTTGTTCAGATTCTTTTTATTGATTTATTATTAGAATTAATATTATAATAATTTACTCATAATTAATATATGTAAAATAATAACTTAATTTCATTTAAATCAAATACTCCAACTAATATCACTGTTTCTATAGATATCAATACTAATAAATACAAAAAGAAATGTATTTTATACATTATTGTCTATCAATAACAACGTAAGATTAGTACTCATTAAATATTCTAACCATTTCCAAATGAATATACAATAAAACAGTTAAAACATTAAAGTATGTACACTTTGAAGATAAGACTTGAACATGGATAAGAGAATTTATTATAAACTTTACATTGTAATACAAAATCAGATTCTAATGTTATTATTGCAAATGTTTAATAACATTAAAATATAATTAGAGATCCAATCTCTTCTAATAGTGAATAATAATTAGTAGAAGTTATTGCTGCTGAAAATGAGGGAATAAATATATTCTAAAGCAAATAAGAAATTAAATCTATGATTTAAAGAGCTAGAAATAATTCTTCTGCTAAGGGATTCATTTATTCAGAATATAAAATAAATAAACCACCTGAATTGAAATAAGAAAGATTAAAACGTATTTGGATGATATCTAAAGGATAGGAATTCTTTGATGAAGTATATGGTAATATTGATCCTGGTTTATAATTTCTTAAAAATGATTGGTTTATGGGTCCATTTTATAGTTATGATCCTAATGAAGAATTATTACGTAAAAATTAAGAAAATCGTGATTTGTAAATTAATTAATCATTATGACATTATATTGTATTTAAAATTTAACATCAAATGGAGGCATTTTTTGATTTCAGGTAACCATTCCTAATCTACTCTAGTTATTTTGATGATCTAAGAAAAATTTGTTCAAAGGATACATACAAAGAAAAATTAAGGCTGTTTCTATTTAATCCATATATGGAATTAAAAGAGCATCAAGAAACAGTAGATCTCTTTATTGAATATGTATAATGTTTCTCATCTTATATATATATAGGCTGAATTATCACAAGAATATGGAATCACTTTTGAACATATGATCAATCATAATATTGGTATTAAAGAACCATAATTCTATCATTACTTTTTCAATAAGCTTAAAGAAACAAATTATAGAAAAGCTCTTTAATGTATTTAAATGGCTAAGCAGTATAATTTATATATATAATTATAAAATAGATTCTGCTACTCAAATTTCGAGTAAATTGATAGTATGAACAAAGAATTGGAAAATATTCTACTCTTCTAATTTGAGTCTTACTATCAATCTAAAAATTGTTCCAAAAAATAAATTGAAGATAAGCTCAAACAATTTGAACTTAAATTTTATTAATCTAAAAATAAAAGAATCTAAATACATATAGATGAATAATATAGAAAACTTGATCTTAAAGCTATTATTCATGAAATTGAATCATTTAAAGAAAATAAATGTAATTACAATTCATCAATACAAATCCCTATTTCATAATAATACCATTTAAATCCAGAAGAATCAGATTATTTCAATAATCAACTAGAATAAAAAGAATTCAAACTAATCAAACCAAAATTTCAAAATAATCGCAATAATCTTTAAATAATAACTCAATCCCCTAATTTCTCAAATGATATAGCTCTATCAGAAGAAATCAATAAACTAACTCCTATAAGTTCCTCTTCTACATCCAGTAGATATATATTTAAATTAAATAATAATTATAATATAAAATCTAACCAATAATAAAAATTAATCATACCTATACCCACTATCAATTAATAAATAAGTCCATTAAAATCATTAAATAGAATGAAATATAAAAGCATTTAAAAACTAAGACAATTAATTTTTGAAGATAATATATAAAGTTCTGTCAAAGAACCCTTAAAATTTGATTCACCTTAATGATAAATGTATATATACTTAAATTCTATAAATAAAATAAATTAATAAATTCATGTATTGCTTTTTTCAAACATCTACAATTTAAAAAAGAAGCTTCCTTGAATTAAATTTATAATTGTATCCAGAGGAAATCTAAGCACTTCAAAATGGTGAATAAATGAGAAATTAAATTATATAAGGAAACTTTTAAATAATTCCACATTATCTTTAATTCTTCCATTAAAGCTTAGTATTAATACAAAATATTATTAGAAACCCATACTAAACAAATAATCACATTTTCATCCTTAATTCATTTATAATCCTATTGTTAGTAATTAATATTTGAGATCTCCAGAAAGTAATATAAAATAACATTCATATTTTAGATAGTTAAGAAGCATTTGAAATAGATTATGTAATGTTGTTATATACATATTGTAATGGATAATTGCATGATAGCTATATTTAAATCAAAAATATACGATAAGCACTTATTGAAGATAAATTACCAAATCCTAAAGATGTAGATATTATTCTGGATAAAATGAAAGTAGCATATACATTAATAAAAAATACTTAAACATATTCTAATTAATTGCTACCTAATTTATCTTTATAAAGAACCTCTAATTATCCAGAATTTAGCTCTATATTTTTCCTTCGATATAGTACATATTATGTTGTAATGGCAAATTTATTCTATTTTGAAAAAATGTAGGATATGAAAAATGAAAAAGTACTTATTATCAGATAAAATCTATGCAGTACTATGTTAAAAAATTTAATTAAATTTGTGGATTTAGGGAATGATAAATTGGGAATTTATTTATGTTATATATCCTTCTACTTTAAATGTTTAGGATACAAAAGTATAATAGAAAAATATCTATACTATATTTAAAAAGATGATTATAGATATAAATGTAATTGGATATTTATTAAATTTAAGCTTTTACAGTTATGACTTTAGAAATCATTGAATTAAGCAAAGAACTTAAATAATTATGTGAAAAAATATTACTTTAATAGAATTTGAATGAAATTGATCTGGAAGTATTCAAAATATAAGCAGCACGATGGATTACATTCTCAGATTGTCAAATTAATGCTTATACAGGAATTATAACAAATCCATAACAAATTTAAACAAATGAATCGATCTTACTAAATTCAGACAATTTTAATTGTTTGGATTGAAAAATTGAGAATTATTACTTATTAAATTCTATTAGTGATTTTATGTTATATCATCCCACATTAGTATTTAAATTAAATATATTCATTTTTATTTTTTTAACATTAACATTATAAAAGATGGATATTTAAATCAGATATTAAAATGAATAGATTACTTTTGAAGGAGTACAATCATATGAGGATTTGTAATAAGAAATCTAATTAAAATATCCATTATTGAAAAATATTGAATTATCTTATTAAGATGAAGAGAATGATATTATTTAAGTTTCAAATACAAGTGATATAATTGCAATTGTAAGAATATGATTCATTATTTCAAGACAGATATTAGTAAAGTAATACTTTAAATGGAAGCTTAAATTGATTAATTAAAGATATAAGAATTAGAAAGAACTATAAAAGTGGAAGAATTCAATTAGAAACTAATTGAAGAATAAAGAACTAACAAAATAGAAGTAATTCTATTAAATCATTTAGGAAATATAAAAAGAAATGAAAAAAATTTAAGAAATTATTCATGAGAAAGGCTTAATTGCTCATCAATTTAATTAATAAATTCAACAATTAAAGAATTATTAACAATAATTAAAAGATTTTTAGAGTAAACCTTTGTCAGATTTTAAGACAATTTTTTATAATTCAAATTTATTTGATTAAATAAGAGAAAAAGAATCCAATTTATTAATATTAGAACTAGATCTATTAATGTTATATATTATAGGACAAAAAAGGATTTAAAACATAATTATAGTCAATCTAAAAGGAAATTTAGGATGAATTCGAAAAACTATTTACTTAAAGAATATTGGAACATCAAGAATTGTATGCAAATAGATTAGAAAACAAATGCAAGATAAATAGGATTAACCAAGAAATTTAAATGGTGGAATATCAAAAATAGGAGATATTATAAGATTTGGATTATAAATAAAGAAGATTAGAAGATAATGTGATAAGAAATAATGCAGAATTAAATCTGTTGTAGTAAAATGATGATTAATTTTGATTCATATATATTTTTATAGATTTTAGTCTTCTTTCATAGATTTTTATAAATTAGTTAAGATTATATAGAAATATTTAAGAATTAGGAGTGATATGTGAATTAAATACAATGAAATCCGTTTTTATAATATTTTATTAAAAATGAGAAGTTCGGCATTAGTCATATGTATACTAGTGTTGGGAAGTGGTAATATTGTATTACATTCTAGCCCTATCTGCTGAATTGGATTTGGGTACATCCTTATTATCTATGGATTTATCTGATGTGGCCCTTCTGGATACTACATCGATGAGTTGTTCAACACCTTAGAACGAATTTCAGAAAGTCTCTGCTTAAATGTCAGCTTGGGCTGATATTGTTTAACATAAGGATTCCTTACATAGAGATATTGATAGATTAGAAACCATCAAAGAACTCATAGAAAAGAGAAAGTTTAAATCATTAGAGAAGTAGTTGAATAAATTGGAATTGCCAAAGACAGAAAGCAAAATCGGAGAGCCTATTTTGGCAGAGTTCAGATAAAAGCTTAAAGGATTAAGCAACCCAGAAACTGCTGATGAATGTGAAGCTACTTTACTCAAATTATGCATCTATCTTCTCAAATAATTTAACAGTTGCAGATAACAATGCCAATCTAATCCTGTGACAGTCATCAAAATCAAAGGAAAGATTAAGGACTTATAAGTTGTTTAATAAGGTTGCGGATAACCTGCACCATGTGAAGATGAACCAGGAATACCTGATGAACCTACACCAGAAATCCCAGATGAAAAAGGTCCTGAGGAAAAAGAAGTTCCTCATGAAGAAGAACCAACACCACCAACACCACCTGGAGAAGAAGATAAACCTGAAATCCCAGATGAGAAAGGTCCTGAAGAAAAAGAAGTTCCTCCTGAAGAATAAGAAACACCACCTACCCCACCACCAGGAGAAGAAGAAGAAACAACACCAGAAATCCCAGATGAAAAAGGTCCTGAAGAAAAAGATGTTCCTCATGAAGAAGAACCAACACCACCAACTCCACCTGGAGAAGAAGATGAACCTGAAATCCCTGATGAGAAAGGTCCTGAAGAAAAGGAAATCCCTCCTGAAGAAGAAGAAACACCACCTATCCCACCACCAGGAGAAGAAGAAGAAACAACTCCAGAAACACCTGAGGAAGAAAATGAAGAAAATGAACCACCTGTTGAGCCACCTGTTGAACCAAGTCCTGAAGAAAGTCCTGAAGAAGAAACAGAAATTCCTGATGAACCACCTGTTAATCCAAATCATGAAGAATCACCTGAAGAAACAACAGAAGAATGGGTTGAAGAAATTGAAGAAGAATTTGAAGAATTTGAAGAACCACCTATTGTTATACCTCCAATTGAACCACCTAGTGCTGTTGAAAAGGCTTGTTTGAATTCAGTGAATGAGATTGTTTATACATCTTCTGTTGATGAAGCTACACCATTAGTGAATAAATAATTGGAAGGGGATGATTTGAGTTGTTATGGATTTGGATTCTACACTAGATGGCTTTAAGCTTATCCAACATTCTTGGTTCATGGAAGATAATCTGAAAGATATTTTGTAGCAAGAGTTTCTGAATCAGAACATACAACTGGTGAAGTTAATGATAATGCTTTGAGTGTATATTTGACTAAAGAAGGTTTGGAATTCTAATCATATGACAGTTAAGGATTATCTACAACAGTAATTTAAGTTGGTGATATTGAAGGTAAATGGATTTATGTTTATTATTCATATTGTAATGAAAAAGCAGTTGCTGTTGTAAATGAAGATGGATAAACAACAATTAATGAGATTAATGTTAGTCATGAAAAACCATCTCAATTATATTTCTAATTGGCTGGTCAACAAGGAGATGTTCCATCATTCTAAGGTCAATTTAGATTAGTTTAAGCTAATGCTGGTTAAAATGTATTCATTGGAACAGAAGCAGAAGCTAATGATTTCGTATTTGCTTGCAATCACTTACCTGAAGAAAAATGTGAAAGATAAATATCTAATCTTCATGATTTTGAATTCCATGGTGCTGATTCATAATTTGATGCATCATCAGTTGTTGAAAATACTGAACCAATTTATGCACAAGAATATTCAGTTTCTGGTTGGTTCAAATGGTATCCAGTTTAAAATCCAGAATCCTGGTATTCAGCATTCAGATTGACATTGAACAATCTTGCAGTAAATTAAAATGCCAAACAATTGGGAGATAGAGATTTGGCATTATTTGTAGGAAGTGAAAAGAAGGATTCAGTTTTGGCTTTCACAACATATACTTACTCAGATTTGTATGGAAATGGTAACCCAACCTATTGGTAAGCTATCCCATATGAAAAGGATTTGGTACATTGGCATTATATTTACTTCGGTTACAATAGACATATCTCTAAAGCTTATGGTTATGTTGAGTTCTTCACTAGAAAGGGAGAAGTTCATTTTGAAAATGTCAAACATTTTGATGCTCCACATAAATACTTATATGTCGGATAAGATTAATTCTATAAATCATACAGTGGTAAGATTTTCAATCTTCATTACAACCTTTGTGATGGTTCATATAGAGAATTGAAATACGATGAACATTGGGGATATACTCCTAAACCAACTGATCCAGTCCCACCTCCTCCTGTCCCTGTTACACCATCAGAACCTTCAAGTGAAGAAGAATGGGTAGAACCACCCATCCCACCCATTCCATCTGAACCAGAAGAGGATATTCCTTATGAACCTGAAGAAAAGCCACTCCCACCTCCATTGAGTGAAGAAGATACTCCAGAGGAAACTCCAGTGGAACCACCTGTTGAAC